CCCACGTTTCTTCGGTGTTTGCCATCGGATTGGGTTTTCACCGCTTGGCAACGACGTTGTAAAACAAGCCAGTTCACTTCGTGAGCTCGGCAACCAGGTTACCGTTTTTTGGTTTTTCCTCTGGTTTTTGTTTGGCGGTAACCATAATGGTGGTCGAGTAGATCATGTTGTGCGGGGTCGAGGACCCTCACTCCGGGCAAGGGGGATGATCGCACCACGCCGTGTTAAAATGGTCAAGCACCCTCGAGGCAGTTACATAGTGCATACAACTGTTTCAGGAAGTGAACGCGCCAGAAAACAGATTTAAGTCATAAGCAGCTGTCATCCGTACGCAAAGAAGTAACCACAAGATGCTGAACACCCTTAGCAGGATGCAGCGTACCCTTCATGCGACTCGCCCAATATCTCANCCCCCCCCCCCCCCTACGTTACGTGACACGTGGGGGACAAATCTTGAGCGTCCACATTGCACCATGCCGTACGACGGTTACGATCGACTCACCGGAATGACTGCGATAAACAACCTCACCTCATTGTTCGAAACGTCTGGGAATACTCGACACATGCAGCCTCACTATTTGTACTTGATATGCATCGATGGGTCCGGGAGCTGCTCTCTTCTAACACCTCACTTGCAGGTGCCTCGTGCAATCAACACTTAGTTATGGCGCAGTGCACATTTACTGCTGGCTTGCTGTTGTTGCACATACCAGGATTCCAGCACATCGTCATGAGGATGCCGCGTATTCTTTCGCAGCTGGTCTTGAACACCAACATGGCAATCAAGAACGACTTGCTGTTGCAGAAGAAGATCATGTCAAAAGAACCCCCTTTCAACCCGTGATGCCGCGAGGTGAAGGGGTTTACTCTCTCCATAGGCTTGGATAATGGGGTCTAAAACGGAGAGAGGGCATTAGCTTATTCTGGATAGCTGGTAGTTTAACCCCTTTGGAACGCACCTAAAAATCAGGGCTGCGAAAATATCGCGGAAAAGATGAAAATAAGAAGGAAAAATATTCGCCCTCTGATTGGGCGATGATGAACAGTCCGTGGCCTGTGTACAAGGAAGAGAACAACGGCTGCCGGGGCCGTCTCAAGTCTCAAAGCCCCATCAAATGTCCTCTATAATCGAGGGGACATTTGATAGGGCTTTTAAGAGAACAACTTGTGCAAGCGTGGTAAACGGAGCACGAAAAGGAGGCTTTCAAGATATTCCTCTAGCGGGAACGCGAGACCTTCAAACCAAAGCCCCACGTTGCACGGAGCCTCCTTTCATTGGTGGGCAAGGTGCTTCTTCGAGTAGGGCCCTGGCAGCGCTTCCTGACCAAGCGCCGATCGACGCGACGCAACTTCGCTGTTGAACTTGCTGGGCTGCAGCGAGCACCTGCCGCACATCGTCACATCGCGTCGATATCCTCTTCCGCTTTCACTCCTCCGATCCAACGCCACACTACGATAGCCCATGGCAGCCAACGGATATCCCGGCACTCTCCTCGTCGAGGAGTTCAAGGGTGAAGACAGCCATGCCATCCTTGTCCAGATCAAGGAGGCGTACGAACATGATGTCGCACGCGTCCGAGAATTTGTCTTCGATGCTGCCGTTGCGGTCGAAACGTCGTCATGTAGTCACGACAAGCCGCCAGGAGCCTTAAATACAGGATTGACGCGCGATCAGCGCGCCCAAGCCGCCAAGTAGCACCCCGGGCTCTGTGGAGTCTACCATGCGGCGGCGATTGCTGGCGTCAGCTGTTTGCGGCCTACGCCACTCATTTATCGGGTGAGACTGTAATGGTGATGTTTTAACTTCACGAGAGGTCGACGACCGTCCTTTTCACGGACAAAAGAGGGAGTGCCCCACATGGGCAGCTCCTACACCAAGGACGGGCCCCGTGACTCATCGTTGTGCCCCCTACCAAACGGCAAACTTACCAATCTGCGTGACACCAAAATCATACAGCACATATATCCAACACCAATATTCGCAGACCAACGAACACCCTCCCTGGTTCTTCACGCAAGTGACTAACCATCAATGGGGCAAGAACGCGCCTGGATACATCAGAAATACCAATATGGTATTCTATGGAGGGGAAACCCGGCGTCGCAAAACCCCTCGAATAATCCCCTACCACCACAAAAACCGTCGCCATCACAGCGGATCACAACGGCCGCACTTTTTCGAAAGTCCAAGGCAAGTGCTCAAAACTGCTACAGCTACCGGCAAATTCATCAACTTGCGCCGGTGGTACTGCAGGCTGGCTTTGCCAAGGGCCTTGGTAAGGAGGTCCGCGTGTTGCTCCGTTGTCGGAACAAACTTGGCCGTAATATCCCCCGACCTAAACAATCCGCGGATAAAATGAAATTTCACGTCGATGTGTTTCGTGCGACCCGAGCTGAGGGGGTTCTGCACTAACGCTTTGGCCCCCTGGTTGTCCTCAAGGACCTGGATGCTGCTACCTCTAGTCCCNACTGCTACAGCTACCGGCAAATTCATCAACTTGCGCCGGTGGTACTGCAGGCTGGCTTTGCCAAGGGCCTTGGTAAGGAGGTCCGCGTGTTGCTCCGTTGTCGGAACAAACTTGGCCGTAATATCCCCCGACCTAAACAATCCGCGGATAAAATGAAATTTCACGTCGATGTGTTTCGTGCGACCCGAGCTGAGGGGGTTCTGCACTAACGCTTTGGCCCCCTGGTTGTCCTCAAGGACCTTGATGCTGCTACCACTGGTCTCTGGGGCAACAAACGAAAGCACAGCACGCACAAACAACTCCTCCTTGACACCCTTCCCGGCAGCAATGTACTCGGCTTCCGTCGAAGACAAAGACACGATGATCTGCGCCTTGCTAACATGGCTGACTACGGTACCTCCAACCGTCGTCGCCAACCCTGACACCGAACGCCTATCCTCCGTGTCGGCGTAGCTAGCGTCTACGTACACGGCCAGCCCTAACCCCGATCCCCGTTGGTAGGTGATGCCGAGGTCCCTCGTCTGGATCTTTTGAATGGCATCCCAGTGCCTCTTAGCCGGGGCGTGGGCGCGGCGCCCTACCGCACGCACGGTGAACAAGACGTCTGGACNTTTCAGGTAGCCGAGGATCTTCTGTATGGCATCCCAGTGCCGCTTCGCCGGGGCGTGGGCGTGGCGCGCTACCGCACGCACGGCGAACGAGACGTCTGGACGCGAGAAAGTCGACACCCACATCATGCTGCCGATGGCCTCCCTCACCGGCCACTCCCCTCCCTCCTCATCCTCTCGCTTCGGCCCTCGATCGGTACCAGGGGTAGTGGGGATGCGGGAAGTCGATTGTGCATCGAAGCGTTTAACCATGCTGTCGATATACGCGGTTTGGAAGATTTTAAGATTCCCAACCTCTACACCTCTCTCGATGGCACACCCATCAAACCATTGACACTCTCCGAGGTTTTTGGTGGGAAATTGTTTGTTGAGAGAAGCAAGCAACTTCTCGCAATCCTCGTCAGACCCAGCCACCAAAATGTCATCCACGTAGATCACGATAATCATCACCACGACTTCGTCTACTATCTCGCGAAAACAACACGGGTCCGCCTTGCATTGCTCGAACCCGTTCTCGACTAGCGTATCAGCAGCGTGGTACCCCCACTGCCTACCGCTCTGCTTCAGACCGTAAATCGCACGCTCAGCCTTAACAATTTAATGCGATTTCCTCGCACCCAGCGGGGAGCCTCAGAAAAATCTCCTCGTCTAGCGTGGCGTGTGTAGTCTATACACCTGCTTCACATCCCAGTGATTGAGGTTCATGCCCTTCTCGTTTGCTACCGCAAACATCAGCTTAATGGATGCGGATGAGGGGCAAGGGGAAGCCGAATGGAAAGAATCGACGTTCGGGATTTGCAAAAACCCCCTAGCAACCAGACGCGCTTTGAACTTGTCCATCTTCCCTTCCTTATTGGTCTTCCAACTAAAACACCACTGTGAGCTCACAGGCCTGCGCCCCTCTGGCGCGCCGTCTACGAATGAAAATGTCCCCGTGCCCAAGTGCCCTTCAAACTCTTCCCTCATGGCCTGTTCCCACCCCTCTCTGTACACAGACTTGGCAATGCCGGCTACGTTCTACTTCGCTCGGACGCTTGTCTAAGGGGGATTAACTTAGCTCGTGGGACGCCAAAACCGTCCCGAAGGCGTCTGGCGAGTTGAGCATGAGGTCCACCGTACCCAGCAGGAAGTCCTCCGCCTCTTGGCGCGCAGCGTGGTCCTCCTGCACGCGCTCGGACAGCAACTCTCGCACCACCCTCGCCTCTAGCCCCTCCGCCACGTGAAGCACCACNCGCGCGCTCGGACAGCAACTCTCGCACCACCCTCGCCTCTAGCCCCTCCGCCACGTGGAGTACCGCCGAAAGCATCCAGCGGGTGAACTCCTCCGTGCTGCTGACGGGCAGGCTCGCCGCCGAGGCGAGCAGGGCGTCAGCACTTGTCGGCGACGGGGGCGACTCGTACCTCGGGTTTCTGCGAGGGTTCTCCCTAGTGCGGCACCTGGTGAGTTCCGCCGGCTTGTCAAAGCGGGCGAGCCGCCGGGCCTCTGGCCCACGGAGCGCCTGGAGATCCGTCTCGCTGTCGCTGCCACTGCTGCTGTCGCTGCCGCCATCACCGCCGCCGCCGCCGCAGCTACCGCGGCTGCGACGGTCGTCCTCGCCGCCGCCCACATCGGCCGTGCCGGTCGACGTGGTAGATGGGGCGACGCTCGCGCTCTCCCTGCTCGAGGGGGCGCCATCGCCAGCGTCGCCCACGCCCGACTCCTGGGGCGCGGGCGGCTCCGCGGGCCCCAGGGCTGTCTTCGTGTCAAGGTTGAAACCTGGTCCTCCATCCACAGGTTCTCCCTCCGCCCTCCCTCCACCTTGGCTCGACGCGCCCTCCCGAGCCTCGTCCTCATCAGTCGCGAATTCCTCGTCCTCCTCTGCGAAGGGAGGCAGCGACTGGGGCAGGGCGGCGGGGGCGGCGGGTACGTATTGCCAGGTGAAGTTGAGAGTTGTGATCGCTTGGCGTTTTTCATTCACGATGCGCACGCAATAACGGTTGGTGTTGATTCCCGGGCCGAGGTAAAAACACCTTTGGATTTTCGGCTCGGACTTGTGTGTGCGCTTGACCTTGTATACGGCAGGTTTGAGGAACGGNCGGGCCGAGGTAAAAACACTTTTGGGCTTTTGGCTCGGACTTGTGTGTGCGCTTGACCTTGTATACGGCAGGTTTGAGGAACGGGTACGTCGCCCCCGGTGGGGAAGGGTGCCCGTGTCACATCTCGTTCGGCGATTTCTTCTCTGGGTAGGATGTGGTGAAGGTGCAGTTCAGGGCGCTGCATGCCCAAGGTATGGCCTCGGCCCAAGGGGAGGGATAGATCGTTGCTCCGGGGTAAAGAGCTGGCGCTTGGATACGGGCGGCTAGAGGTGCATCCTTGATCAGACCCAGTGCTCTCTCAGCTACACCGTTGTATTCTGGACTGTGCGCGGGGGTGAACTCCTGTTTGATGCAGTACTTCCGGGACACCTTGCCGAACTCTCTCTAAAAAAACTCTCCTCCGTTGTTGGATCTCACGACCATGACATCGGACTGGGCACCGTCTGCCCGGTTTTCTGCAAGGTATCTCTCGAATGCCTCAGCGGCGTCTGATTTGTGCTTCAGGAAATAGACACGGTTCCACCTTGTGTAATCATCCTTGACAATTAGAGTGTACCACTTCCCCCCGGAGCTCTGTATCCTAGCTTTTCCACTCAGATCCACGAAAACTCGCTGCAGTTTCTTNCGGTTTTCGGCAAGGTATCTCTCGAATGCCTCAGCTGCGTCTGATTTGTGCTTCAGGAAATAGACACGGTTCCACCTTGTGTAATCATCCTTGACAATTAGAGTGTACCACTTCCCCCCGGAGCTCTGTATCCTAGCTTTTCCACTCAGATCCACGAAAACTCGCTGCAGTTTCTTAACTGCTCGGGTCGACGTCTTGTTGGGGATGGGCTTGGGAAGCCCCTTTGCCGTCGAGCACCCCAGGCAATCCCGGAGCTCGCCCACCAGAGTCGTCCCCTGCTGCTTCGCCGTGGTCCTCAGCAGCACCTCGTGGGAGTGGCCGTGCGCGCAGTGGAAATCGTTGATGTCAACGGGGGTGCTGGGCGCTTTCGCGTTGCCAGGAGCAATTGCGGCACAGGCATGTTCGGTGTGTGTGCGGAAACCGCTTTGGACGTACAGGTTACCGCATTGGGGGAACTACACCAACTTCCCCCCCCTCTCTCCAACTCCAACTCGTGAATATTGAGGGTTCTGCGGAGGGAGAACCTGTGGATGGAGGACCAGGTTTCGACCTTGGCACAATGGCAGCCCTGGGGCCCGCGGGATGCCCGCGCGCGTAGCGCCGGCGGCGCCGCCGGCCGCGCCCCAGGAGTGGGGCGTGGGCGACGCTGGCGATGGCGCCCCCTCGAGCAGGGAGGGCGCGAGCGTCGCCCCATCTACCACGTCGACCGGCACGGCCGATGTGGGCGGCGGCGAGGACGACCGCCGCAGCCGGGGTAGCGGCGGCGGCGGCGGCGGCGGCTGCGGCGGCGACAGCAGTAGCCGCGGTAGCGGCGGCAGTGGCAGCGACAGCAGCAGCGGTGGCAGCAGCGTCGATGACGGCGGCAGCGACAGCAGCAGTGGCAGCGACAGCGAGACGGATCTCCCGGCGCTCTGTGGGCCAGAGGCCCGGCGGCTCGCCCGCTTTGACAAGCCGGCGGAACTCACCAGCCGCCGCACTAGGGAGAACCCTCGCCGAAACCCGAGTTACGAGGCGCCCCCGTCGCCGACAAGTGCCGAAGCTCTGCTCGCCTCGGTGGCGAGCCTGCCCGTCAGCAGCACGGAGGAGTTCACCCGCTGGATACTCTCGGCGGTGCTTCACGTGGCGGAGGGGCTAGAGGCGAGGGTGGTGCGAGAGTTGCTGTCCGAGCGCGCGGAGGAGGACCACGGCTACGGTCATGGGGGGGGTTCTACTTCCCTCGGACGCTTGCCTATGGGGGATTCACTTAGCTCGTGGGACGCTAGAGCCGTCTCGAAGGCGTCTGGCGAGTTGAGCATTTGGTCCACCCTACCCAGCAGGAAGTCCCCCGCCTCTTGACGCGTAGCGTGGTCCTCCTCCTCTGCTGCGAGCGGAGAACAGATCCGCTTGCCGGTGCAGGAGGGACTCGAAGGGCCAGGGTAGGGCGGAGCGTGCTCTTCTCGCGAGCGACGGTAGCGGCGGGGGAGGAGCGCCGAGCCGCGGCAACAGCGGCCGCCGCAAGGGTCGCGGCGGCGGCGGCGGCAACCAGAAGGGGAGAGGGGGTGGCGCGAAGGCTGGAGGCGGCAGCGGAGGCGGCGACGACGATGCGGGTAGCATGCGCGGTCGCTGTTTCTGGCACGGCAAGAAGGGCCACCAGGTGGCCAACTGCCCCGAGAGCAAGTCTGTGCGATGTGAGACATGCAAAGGGTACGGGCAAGACAAGAGCAAGTGCTCGACCGAGGAAGCGGTGCTCGTGATGGAAGTGCCGGCGGGGGGGGCGTCTGCGGACACCACAGCACTGGACGTGGCAGAAGAAGCGCTGGTGGTCGGTGACATCTCAGGNCATGCGCGGTCGCTGTTTCCGGTGCGGTAAGAAGGGCCACCAGGTGGCCAACTGCCCCGAGAGCAAGCCCGTGCGATGTGAGACATGCAAGGGCTACGGCCACGACAAGAGCAAGTGCCCGACCGAAGAGGCGGTGCTCGTGGTGGAAGTGCCGGCGGGGAGGGCGTCTGCGGACACCACAGCACTGGACGTGGCAGAAGAAGCGCTGGTGGTCGGTGACAACGCAGGCGAGTGTCACAAAGTCGTTGGTCGAGGGGGTGTAGAGCAGGCTAGGCGGGGTAGGTATGTTTGCCGGTACCGGCGCTACCACCCACATGTTCGCGAACTCAGATGGGTGCGTTCGGTACGAAGAGTGTGATCGACGTGTGCTTGTCGCCGCCGGAGAAACCTCTTCTATCGTAGGGTACGGCGACGTGACGGTAACCCATAGCTCGCGCGACGGTACAACCGACCTGCTGTTGAAACGGGTTGCACACGTTCCCCGACAAGACTACAACCTAGTACCTCTCACTTCTGCTCTCGTGTACCCCCTACGGAGCAAGTCGGCAAGTTTGGGTCGCCCACGGGGATGCTGCTCTCTGCATCTCCTATAAACAGCCCGTCCAAGTCGATGGTCTTCGCAGCTTGGATGAATGATTTTCGCCACGAGTCAAATCCGTGGCTACGGCTTTTTCCGTCTAGGAGCGGAGCATTGACCGTTACCCTCTTCATGTGGCTACTGCTGTAGCCGTCGAGGTATTCTCCATTTCCTCGAAACACGGGTATCTCACCTGGGGGGGTTTACCCCCTCGGTTCCCCGTAGTCCGGTCCTATGCCCGGGCCCACCCCGGCTGGTCTCGCAGGATTCGCTCCCGATCTGCTGGCCCAGCCGCCTTCCAGCAGCTGCCGTGGTCCTTGTCCACCATCTCTCGCTTGCTGCTGAAGACATCCCCCGCCACCGCCGAGCGGCAGCGTGGGCTCTCCCGTGGCGGCAACCCAGCCGCCACCACTGGCTGCATCCGCCACGACGCTGCCAGGCTCCTTCTTCTTCACCGACTCCTCCACCAGGGCCGCCAATTGCGAAATCTGCCGTTGCAAACTTACAAGCTCTGCATCACGGCCCTCCTCTACCGGCGAGCGGATTGGTTTTCCGCTCGCAGCAGTGGGTACCTTATCTCCGGCATAGCTCATCCCGATGTGGCTTCCCTCGAGGGGCAATAGCTCTAGAGTGCTTGCGGCCTACGCCACTTATATATCAGGTGAGACTGTTGGTGATGAATTACCTTCACAAAAGGTCGACGACCGTCCTACACACGGACGAAAAAGGGAGTGCCTCACATGGGCAGCTCCTACTCCAAGGAGGGGCCCCGTGACTCATCGCGATGCCCCCTACCAAACGGCAATTTTACCAATCTGCGTGACACCAAAATCACAGCACTCCAACACGAATGTTCGCAGACCCACGAACATCAGCTACGCGGATATGGCCGCTACTGCGGAAAGGCGTGGTATTGGCGTCACGTTCAATGTCTTCCGCAATCAGAAATGCAAAGCAGAAATCGCGGATACGGGCATCACTGCTGATGTATAACAATGCGTACAGCAGTGGTTTAGTGATGAGTGGGTTGCGTTTCGAGGCAGGCAGAGGTTATTCGATATACTCGTAGCATACACGTCTGTGCGACTTTACCTACCCCTACGGCCCGTCATGGCCGAGCTGCTCTACACTCCCATCGCACACAACTGAGCCGCCCGAATTATCGATCACGCTAGCGATGACACGTCGTCTACGAGATTCGCGGTCGAGCTTGGTTTAGGAGTATCGCTTTGCGGCGATCGAGAGCAGGGTCAAGATGGCCACCAGGCGCCAAGATGAAGCGCGCCAAGAAGCGGAGGCCCGCTAAGCAGCGGAGCCCCGCCGAGCAGCGGAGGACGCCAGGATCGAAGAACAAGATGGCTCCCGCAGCGTCGACAAGAGCGCGCGGTTTGAAGCAGACGAAGTCAACAGGAGTCCGGACGTCAGCAGCAAGGTGAAAGCAGGAGAGGGTTAGATAAAAGTCATGCGAGAGAGCGAAGAGTACGAGGTAGGCCAGCAGCAGGGAGCGCGCCTAGAACCATCGACCACGCCCGCGGACGACATCCCCCTGACCATCGCGCGAGCCCCCGACGGGCGGCTCAGCGCATTACAGCAGCACCACTTC